AAACAGAAATCTACAAAGCTGTCGTTATCATTCAGTAAAGACAGGGCAAAAAAGTAAAATAATAGCGTCATGCACTTGATGATGGCATTTCAAACTTAATTTTAACGGTTTTACCCCGTTATCCATCTGTTGTAGAAACAAAGTTCAAACAGTGATGACGCTGGTTATCGCTTTCTGAGCAAATAAATTTACGAGAGCTGAACATTGAGAGTCAGCAAAACGATTATCTTTACCAAATGTTGTTCTGACAGGGCAACGCTACAGGCATTTTGAACCAGTGCAATAAAGGAGCTACAAAACCATGGACTTGCGCTGGTAAAAATCCTGTGTGGTGCTACAAGGGAGTAGAGCAGTAGTATCGTGCAAATTCAGACGCAGAACAACTAGATAAATAAGCAACCAAGCAATTACTTTAGGATATTCATGCAGATAAAGCGAAATAGGATAGGAAGTTCGATGTCTGTAGATGCCAAAGCAATTAGACGTTGCCGAACTTTAGACAAAAGTAAATGTTTTGGAAAATTGATTTTTTGGATAAGGTTTGTAGAGTTAGGATACACCGTGCTTACAGTCGCTCAATCAGAAGACCGTTTTGCTCAAGACCGTCTTCTTTTACACTGCCATCAAAAAATATAAGGGAGGTAGACAATAGGTCAAAACATTACAAATTTCCCTAAATTATCTTCTGAAACAAGTAATTAAATTAGTCAAAACAAACCTAGCATCCGGGTTTGGATCGAGAACTATCGCCCGCGGTTCTTCCAATGGCAAACCTTTGAGCAAGACCCTCCGTGATGATCCATCCAACTTGGATACCTCAATGGTGTCGAATCCTTTGTCGCACCAATACAAATTGCGGGCTATCCAGTCGAGCGCTATGCCGTCCGGGTTGCGAATGCCGTGCGAATGAAGGACCTTAGAAAGACACACGTTACTAATCATATAAATCTAGCGCATAACGGGAGCAATAACCTGATAGCCGCTTCCGTTTATAAATACGCGTCCAATTTTGCTGTCGGTAACCGTTACATCCGACCAATACACGCGTTCCTCTGACAGATCATAATCAACCGCAACCACATTCGAAAAATTACTGTAAACATGGCCCTTTGAATGACCATCAAGCGTATAGCGCTTGATGTAGTACCGGTTAGATATCAACAGCTCAGGATCGACTAAAGCAATTATTTGTAAATATCATCTGCACTGAATGACGAAAAATGGGACTTCGTCGCCACCATACCCTTGTCGACGTGCTTGCATGACCTTGCGTCTAACTGCAGCGCGTAACCAGGGGCACAACTACATTCGAAACTGCCGACACGGTTTACACAATACTGCGCACATGGGAATGTTTCGTTGCATTCGTTAATATCTAGTAACGCGGCGTGTACAGACGCGCAGCAGTAAATATAAACTGTTACCAACACAGCTACGCATATTGTCCTGGAGCTTGTAGCCAGGCCTGCACACACAAGAAAACCCGATCTTTTCATTCACGCATGTATGGTCGCAAGGATTATTCAGGAACGAACACTCGTCAATATTGCATTTGTAGCCTTCGTCGGACCAATCGCCGCAGTCGTTCTGACCATTACAGACCAGATCTTTGTTTATGCACACCATGTTGTCGCACTTGTATTCACTGCTTTTGCAAGTTGCAGTGATTTCGGCTGAAAGAAAGATATGAGAAAAAACATGAGCTAAAGCGAGACTAACTATTTCAAACAACTTTTACAAAGAGACACTAAATTTGTTGAACGTTTTTCAAAATCAACCACTAACCAGTAGTAAAACGATCTATTTGAGAAACATTTACGGCTTACAAGATAACTTTCGGAATGACAGTTTGCAGTGGAGCTAACTCGTGTAGCTATATATTAACAGAGCACAAGTGTTCTTAATCATAATCAATTCATCATCAGGAATAACGCTGCGCACGCACACTGTTATCAGGGCCACAGTTAAAAAACTTTCATAATCGAGAGATAACTGAAATATCAAGCCAGTTCTTTCAGAAAAATGCTTAGATCGAACACTGTCCATGTAAATTAAAAGCTGCTTCGCAAATGTTTCCTGCTTTATTGTACCCTGATGATGACTCTATATTCAGACTTTCTGTAATGATAGAACGTACTGAATAAAAAAGGAATTAAAGGATTGTCTTATTTCTATGTTGACCTCACCATCAATCGAAAATAAGTGGCACAGAACATTTAAGTAATGCACAGGTTCCTTTTCTGGGCTTGTTTCTTTGTTCTAAAAGGTCTTCTCTCAGCCTACTTAATAAACTAATAAAATGTATTTAACAAAGATATGTAATTGCTAATTACTGTGAATTCATTCATGTTCTGCCGGAATTATCTTCCAAATAAATCAAAAATTTCAACTCACCGACATGCTAAAGTTACGTTAAGTCAAATGGTAAGCAAACTATTTGGTTTCGCTACAAATTTTATCATAGACGTATACCTTGACAGACAAATTACACACGTTTAAAATAAAGTGTTTCACCTATACTCAGCTTAAGTCATCTAGATACTAAGGTTATGTTCTCAACAAACTCATATAACACAAGTAAAAAAATAAAATGAAACAAAAGCACATGAAGACATTAAACGAGTTTGCCCAAAGTCCTGACTGCAAATCACGCAAAGTCCATTTTCTATACACGTCCATATCTATTACATAAGCACAGTCGTGATAGCGGCTTCTGTATCGGAAGCCGAAACGTCTGAATAAATAGAAAAATCGTACCTCACCTAAAGACAACGTATCGTTGAAAAGAAAGGTGAATTCTTTGAACCAATATATAATCACAAACAGTACGGTAATAACAAAATAAAAACTAGCAGTAATATGAAATCATCTAAACACCACTAACTAAATAACCAAATATGTAAAAATATAACAGATTATACACAAAAACAATTATGAACAATATGATAAACAACTAAATATCTAATAAACAATTATTAGGCAACAGTCATACTTCCGCAGAGTTCCGAATCTTCGTCTGATTTGTCCTTGCAGTCATCGAAACCGTTACATTTCCATGCCAGTGGAATGCAGCGCTTGTTTTTGCACTGAAACTGTGAACTGGTGCATGGCCTTCTGTCTAAAAACGACAAATACAGTATAAGCAAAAGAGAGCGAAAAGTAACGAATCTTGCTTACGACAGTATTCAGGTTCGTCACTGCCGTCGCCACAATCGTCATGGCCGTCGCAGTAAAACGCTGCCAGAATGCAAAGTCCGTTGTGACACTGAAAATGATCGGCGGCACACAGGGAACTAATATCTGTAAAAACACATAGATTAGCTTCATGGCTTTGTTAAGCTTTGTATGTAATGGATTCTGGCATGTTGCCTGTTAGCAATAGAACAAAGTTTAAATTTACGGGTAATATATAAATATTCTGCTACTTGCGAACATTTTTTGATAAAAGGAACAGCGAAAAAGTTTCCTTAAAGTCATTCGATCATAACCAACAAAAGGCAGGTAGGTTGTACAGGCGTTTTGAAAACAAAATAATGTCCATTTTTTACACGCAATGAGGTATGCAATGGGATATACTATGCCTTGTAATCTTCACTGA